AGCTGCCTCTGCCGTTTGGAGCCGCCGCCGCCGTTTGGAGTGCCGCCGTCACGTTTGGAGCTGCCGCTTCTGCGTTTGGAGCTGCCGCCGTGTTTGGAGTGGCGGTGGTGCTTCAAACAGCGGTAGTGCTCCAAACGCGGAAGCGGCAGCTTCAAACGGCGGCAGCGGCTCCAAACGGCAGAGGCAGCTCCAAACGGCAGAGGCAGCTCCAAACGGCGGCAGCAGCTCCAACGGCACTCCAAACGGCAGCGGAATGGGCAGAAGGGAAAGCAACAGAGGCAGGTGCCAAAGGTCTTGGGTCTGCAGCAAAGGTGTTTGGTGGGAGTAGGGAGCTCTCTGCGCTTCGCCATGATCGCCCGTTAGGAGCGGCTGGTGGCGAGGCTGCCCGCAGGGCGCTCTAGATGAGGATGAAAGGGGGAAAATTAAGTTACCCCCGAAAAGACGGCCTAGCCGTTTTTTCGGGGCTCAAAAAAAAATAAGGCCCGGCCTTATTATGTGAGAAACACGGTAATATATTTTTGAAGACTTTATTGTAGGAGCAAAAAGAAAAATAATAATGAAAAATTATTTACTTGATGTGCGTATACATTCTGAGACATTAAAATAACATTTCAATATTGTTTATTTCATTAAAAACAGTAATGAAATATATAGCATTATGATGCTCTATACCTATTTATTAGAAAGAACTACAAGCCTCTCAAATAAAAGAAGAAAAAGACCATTCATATGTCAAGAATAATAATACCTGTCCAACATTTGTATCAAGTTCTTTCATATTGGAGTGGTCTTCAAAAGTTGATGTAAAAAATTCAAAACCCTCATCTAAAGGTACTTCTTTCTAAGAGTGATAAAAGAACATAGCTGAATAACTATTGATAGATCGTACCAGCCATAGAGCAACTTTTTATTTTCTTCTAAAGATATTTTCCTTTATTTGTCCTCATATTCTTTTAAAATAACAGTTACCGCTCAAAGATTATGCTTTATTTTACAATAGCAACCATCCACTCCTCACTGAGACATTGTTATGTTTCAAAGATGCATAGGTTACCCTTTAACTAAAACTATGTAGTCACTTGTTCATATACATTTGTTAATTAAACAACAGGCACTAAGGTAAGATCTCTCTAAATTATCCTATGCTGCTAAATCTTCATCATTTATTCCAAAATCTGCATAAATGCTGAGATTAGACATTTTGAAATAGCATCTGGATCCATTCCTCCCCATTTTAAACAATTCTGGGAAGATATAATGAAGAAAGAATATAAACATGCTGGCAATGCTCTGTGTGGTAAGGTTTAGATCACGGGTGTCAAACTCGCATTGTCACGTTGCTATCATGTGACATTTCATGATATTTTCCCCTTTGCGGAACTGGGGTGGGTCTGTGACGCATCTGGCCCACAGGTCACCAGTTTGATACCCTGGTTTAGATTAATGTAAAACAGCAACTCCAAAATAATCTGTTTATGTTCACATGGCAAAAAAATAATAATCTGAATTTATAATCTGAGAAAATATCTAAGTATGTATAGTCTACTACATTCACGCTGATTCAAAGGAAATTACTATTTAAAACTAAGAATCCAATTTAAATTAATACATGCAATATTTCGTAACCATTCAATTATCATTTGAAACAATGAATTCATGGCAAAAGGGTTCCAGCTTAATATTGAGAATACTTGATATAACCTTCGTGCAAATTGCACTAGTGATCAGGTCAATACAAAATTGTTCACACAAAATAATTGTGCCCATTGTCTGATATTCCAAACTACATATATAGCTATAGAAATTAACTAAATATTTATTCCACCAGTATGCATTTGTGTAGTTGTTGGTAAGGTTTGATGGAAAATACAGTGATTACTAATTACCTATTTTCTATGGCATTACCAGTTCTAGGAATGATTCATATTATTTGTTGTTTCAAGTCTGGCAATCAAAATTTATATATGTTCATAATACTTTTTGAAACAAAAGAATGGGGAAATGTCAGCAAGTTAGTTCAATTGCTATTAATTTTTTGCAATTTAACATTTTGTTGTTATATTTGGCAGACTGAAATCCATATTTAGCTTTCTGCTTACATTATTTCAAAGTGCCTTTTCTGTTTTTTTATTGTTGAAGTTCCAGATGCAGATCATTTGTATTTTATTAAGCTTTCTGGATCCTCCCCCATGCTTGTACAAATAATTTTAAAATAAATATAAATATGAAAAACTGAAACATGAAACTGAATAGAATTTTGCTAGAAAACATTTTTTCAAAAACCAGACCAGATTTTAAAAAGAAGAAAAATAATTTAAAAGATTGTGTTTTTTAAAGTTAAAAGGACCCATTAGGATCAACTAGAAGTTCTCCTAGATACAAGCTTCCTGCTGTCTAAAAAAAATCCTCCAATGTGACCCTTTTCTTTTTCTTCACACCAACATTTGAATAAAAGAGTACATTATCTGTAGGTATTTCCCAACCAAGATTCAATTTTGAAACTCAAGTACAGGTAAATATGTGCAATTCATTTGCTTTCATTTTTTTATGTCCCATAACTGCAAATTTGTTATTATTTTCTCTGGCCATTGAAAGCTCCAAAAAGGATAAACAAATCTCTCCTGTATGCTCTATTTCTAATCCTGTTACAAGATTACAGATATGTTTGCACAGATTATATAGAACATCAACATTAACTTTTAATAATATTTAATAAAAGATTAAAAATTAAGAAAGGACCATTTTTCTATTTATGTAAGGGAGTACGGCCTGAATGACAGTTCTACAAAACTGTGCCTTTCTCATTATTAATATCCTGAAACTGAGTCAAACAATAGTTTATTACTCTCAGGAATCTTTACAAAAGTTTTGTTACCTCAGCATTTATTTCTTGATTGTTTTGAAATCCTGTGGTAGAATTTTGTTTGTGAGAAAAATCTTTTTCCTGCGCAGCCTAAAATAAATATTATGCTGTATTTAGTATATTACTTTTAACATACACATTAACAACCAAAATTACATACAAATTACTCATCACATAACCACTTTTTTCTGGGATACTTCCAGTGATGTTGAAGGCGAATCTTTTACATTAGATTATCTCTTTTCTTTCTTTCATAGCAACATAAATCAATATTCTGTATTTTTTTCACTTAGTTACAGACCAATTAAAACTATCACCTTGACAGTTTTCAGCTTTTCTTTTACTCTGTCCCGCAATGCTTCAGTTAATGTATCTTGTTCTTCTACTTCAGCCACAACTAGAATCAAGGAAGCATACATTTTTAGAATGCAGTTTGTGACAGAGTTCTTTCACTGACCCTCTAGTTAGTATATACTGTCGATCATATTACTAACAATAAAATACATGACTATAATTTTTTAGTTTTTCAAGCTGTTAAATGCTTGCATTCTGCATATGAACCACATAGAGAGAGAGACACTTAGCAAAATTCCAAATGAATGTATCTTTAATAGGATTGTGCTCTGATTCAGCCTTGAACCTGACATGGGAGTCTCTGACAAAATCCTCATGGAGTTCTACTTCTAATATTCATGAGATCATGAGTTCATGAGATCAGCCTGCTGGAAAAGAGAGGATACTGTGTTTTGTACCAAAAAGTAGGGCAAGGATTTTAAATAGTAATTTCTGATACTTACCCACTTCATTAGTGTTTGCATTACTATACTGTGTTAGGCAGTGTTGCCCAATAGTGCATTTTAGTTCTATTCAGCTGCCTTCTGTCTTTCAAGAATCATTTAGAATTCATTGTGTACTGGAGCTACTAAAGCAGAGATGGAAGCAGTGAGAGGAAAAAATGCCTGCGGTTATTCATGGAAAAGAGCCACATTTCCTGCCCATAAAATTAAATAACAAGTATTGGCACTGTTATCTTGCATTCTGGAACACGCAAAGACGATAAAGTCTGACAGTAACAGACGGAGCTATACCGTTTCATTATCAATCAGACAGTACCTCGAAAGAAAGTACAGTACAATCTCAGAACTCTTCTCTCCATGGCAAGAATACTTAGAATTAGCCAGTCACCTTTATTGCTTTACAGTTTGAATTAAAATTATTTAGTTAAGGATTCTTCCATGAATGGATAATTTATATACAGTATCAAAGTATATTTTTCTGGGAGAATAAATCCATCAGCTTAACCATGTTATGAACTAACATAAACGTATTTTAATAAAGCTTGACAACCTTGATAGAAAAGCAGGCTCGTAATCCTGCAATTTTGATTGGTCCATGGATAGCGAGCTGGGATTGGTCCTTACGGAGCAACCTGATTGGCTATTAGCTGAACGCCTCTCATTGGGTACAATTTAAACATTTTAACGTAAGTCATTGGTTAATGGGACAGCAGCCAGCCCTATAAAAGAGCTGCTGCTGCCCAGGGTTTTTGCTCTGTTCCTGATCGTTAATAAAGAGTTGAAGTTCACCGTTCACTGCCTCGTCTCCGTTCCTTGCGCCCATGCCCAGAATATAACACTGGCGATGAGGATGGGATGCAGAGACATCAGAGCTGACTGAACACTTACAGAGCAACAAACAGAGCACGTGGCTGAAGGAGCACCTACAACGGCAATATGTCCAGCGGTGCCATACCACCCGCTCCATTTGACCCGGCAAACGAAGACTGGGACACGTATATGGACAGGTTCCAGATGTTCCTGGACACCAACAACTTAAAGGACGCTACGACCGGCAAAAAGCGAGCAGTGTTCCTGACCCATTGCGGGCCTGCCGTCTTTAAGATGGCAAAAGCACTCGCAAAACCGACTGAGGTGAAAACGATGGATTGGGACACCCTCGCGCCCCTTCTACGGGCCCACTATGCACCCGCAGTGCCAACGCTTGTCCGTAGACACGAGTTTTATCAGAGGGACCAACGGAAAAGTGAAAGCCTTGCAGACTTCATCGCTGACCTCCGGAATTTGGGTGGCCTCTGTGGGTTTTCAAACCTCGAGGAAGCATTACGAGACCGCATAGTTCTGGGATTAGATGACCACACGACGCAGAGCAAGATCATGGCCAAAGGGGACATTGATCTTGCAGATGCCATCGCAGAAGCTACTGCAGCAGAGGCAACCAGGAAGTCGGCCGCTCGAATGCGCCACACCAATGCACCGCTCCGTCAACTCGCAAATGATACCTCGCCTCGTCCAGAGAGGCACTCAACAACGGCGCACCATGAGGACCTAGAATCCCCATCAGAAAGTGATGAGGAAGAGGTCAAGCGACTCCGGTCAGAACGAGACCAACAAAACCAACGATTCCCGCGTCAATGCGCGGGATGTGGGGCAAACCACCCACAATCTGATTGCAAATTCCTCGACGCACTCTGCCGTTCCTGTGGAAAGAGAGGCCACATCGCAAAGGTCTGTAGAAGCAAGCAAGGTTCCAGCCCAATTCAGAAGGAAAATAACTACCGCCAGTCTACAGGAAATCCTCCTGTGAGCCGAGATCGCCAGAACCACCAATGGAACAACCACTACTAAAGAAATAAAGCACTTGCCACCTCAACTAGATGGGAAGAAACACACCAGACTATTACCATCGGTCACGCATCATCCTTAGATGCGAGAAAGATCCAAGTAAGGGTCGCCATTGAGAACCAACCTTGCATAATGGAAGTCGACTCAGGGTCGTCTCTCTCAATGGTATCCTGGAAGACCCTCCAACAACTAATTCCGGCCATCCGTCGTCAGGATCTCAGCCCCCAAAGAATCATACTCAAAGATTACCAGGGCAACAGAATCCCAGTCGTCGGTTCCAGCCAAGTCCAAGTCTCCTTCAAAAATCGTACCGCATCACTACCGCTGACCGTCGTTGATCGTGACCGGCCTAATTTGTTAGGCCTACAATGGTTCGCCCCGCTCGGGATCGAGGTAGCCGGCGTTCACCGAGCCGAGAGCAACGACTGGGAGAAGTCTCTCGTCCAAGAATTCCAGGACGTTTTTTCAGAAGAGCTAGGCAAGTACAAGGGGACCCCAATATCGTTTAGCCTTAATCCTGAAGTAGCTCCCATCCGCCTTAAGCCTCGTCGGGTGCCTTTTGCACTCAAACCAAAGATCGACGAGCAGCTCGATAAATTATTAGCCCAGGGTGTTTTAGAACCAACCGAGTGGGAAACCCCTTGGGGTCCGTGGTCCCGCATCCACATTGATTTTGCAGGACCCACCAAAGGACACACTTTTCTACTAACAGTGGATGCCTATTCCAACTGGCTAGAAATACATAAAATGAAGACAACCACAACTGAGTCAGTCATTAACAAACTGAACAAATTATTCGCAACGCATGGGTTACCAGACGTTTTAGTTTCTGATAACGGGCCCCAGTTCACTGCCCTGGCATTTGAACAGTACCTAGCAGACCGGGGCATCTGCCATGCGCTAACCTCGCCGGCGCATCCTGCGGCCAACGGAAGGGCGGAGCGAATGGTCCAATTCGTCAAAAAAACACTACAAAAAATGGATTCTGGGGACATCGACGACAAGCTGAACCGAATCCTGCTTCTTCAACACATCACCCCACACAGCGTCACGAATAAAACTCCTGCCGAACTGTTAATGGGACGGAAACTTCGCTCCCACCTCGACCGTCTACATCCTTCTTATTCACCAGAAAAACCCTTCGGGTCTAGCGGGAAGTGCCGCGAATTCAAGGTAGGTGACTTGGTGTTTGCTAAGAACTTTTCCGGCGACCCATTGTGGGTCCCTGCAACCATTACCCAACCCACCGGCCCCAGATCCTACCGCCTACAGACTAATGACGGGAGAGTATGGAAACGCCATATAGATCAGCTTCGTTCCAGATTGCCACCCATTTCCCGCGACTCCCCTTATTCGCAAACTGAGGGGGGAGGGGATATCGAGGGGACCGAAAACGAAATAGATAATGATGTAATCAGGGAAACCCAGCAACCAACCCAAAGAAGCGCGCCAACTGAAGAAGAATCAGGCAGCGGGGTAGCCTCGCCACGGGGAAATACCACGAGGGAGGCAAGCCCACGGAACCCGGAAGTAACCCTAGGAGACTGGGATAACAACAATGGCAGCTGCGCCGAGTCCTCCTGCACCGAAACGGAACCAACCGTACCAGAAAACCTTAGAAGCGCTCCACCGGAATCAGACTGCAGACAGAAACCGGTGGAACAGCGAAAATCAAACAGGCAGGTGAAACGACCTGCATATCTACGCGATTATATCACCACACCCCTCAAACGGAACCTAGGGGGGAGGGGTGTTATGAACTAACATAAACGTATTTTAATAAAGCTTGACAACCTTGATAGAAAAGCAGGCTCGTAATCCTGCAATTTTGATTGGTCCATGGATAGCGAGCTGGGATTGGTCCTTACGGAGCAACCTGATTGGCTATTAGCTGAACGCCTCTCATTGGGTACAATTTAAACATTTTAACGTAAGTCATTGGTTAATGGGACAGCAGCCAGCCCTATAAAAGAGCTGCTGCTGCCCAGGGTTTTTGCTCTGTTCCTGATCGTTAATAAAGAGTTGAAGTTCACCGTTCACTGCCTCGTCTCCGTTCCTTGCGCCCATGCCCAGAATATAACAAACCAGTTAACCATTTTATTGTAAACTTTAAAAAAAAGATGGAGCAATACAATGTGTAGGAGGGAAATTATATTTTTGCTTCACTGTCCCCTCAGTTAAATTTCTCAATATGAGCTCTCTCACATATGCAAATTTGACAAAAGGAGATTAATAACATGTTCAAAGGCCCTAGTAATCTAGGTTAAGAATGGAAAAGCATGAAGTCACAAATCACATTAACTCTACAGCTGACAATGTCTCTTATGTTTCTAGAGAATTTGAATAAGATTAGGTCTTCTGTGATCATTCTTCAAAAGCTATCCTTCTGTTCATAAATTCTCTAGTAGGCTGGATTACTAGCCAAGATGCAATGATACTGATTAACTACTGTACAACAAATTAAACAATTCACAAAGAAGTTTTCACATAAAAGTGTATGGAAAGAAGAAGAAAAAAAGACTATCTGCCAGAATGGTTTTCTAAGATGGAGAAAGAACTGGCTTTCTTCTTTAGAGAAAACAAAAAAGAAGATACATCAATTCAGAACATATGGGATACAATGAAGGCATATGCCAGAGGCTTGATAATAGACTATACAAGGAAAAGAAATACCATGAAAAGACTAGCCTCTAAAGCATTAGAGGATGAGTATAAAGGACTTGAAAAAGAGCTACAGAAAATGCCACAGAAAAAGGACATTAAGTTAAAAATGGATATAATTAAACATAAAATGGGTCTAATAGAAAAAGAAGAATTAGCACAGAAAATCAGAGGTGCTAAGCAGAACTATTTTGAAGATGCAAATAAAGTAGGTAGATGGTTAGCATATAAATTGAGGGAGGAGAAAGAATCAAGGAAAATATTGCAATTAATAGATGACCAAGGCCAAGTTTGCTATGGTAGTAAAGAGAAGAAGGAAATCATACGAGACTATTTTGGGAAACTATACACACAAGAGAATATTGATGAGGAAAGAGTTAAACAGTATTTACAGAATGCTAATTTACCCCAGATACCTAAAGAGATTGAAACGATGTTAGAAAGCAATATAACGATGATGGAGTTAACTGAAGCACTCAAGAAGCAAAATAATGGAAAGGCACCAGGCCCAGATGGATTTCCGGCAGAATTTTATAAAACACTACAAGAATCGTTGAACCTTCCATTGCTAGAAGTTATGAATAAAGTTATGTTAAAGAAGAAGATACCTAAATCATGGTCAGAAGCTTATATTGCACTTGTCCCAAAACAGGAGGCTAATCCATTACAAATCAAGAACTATAGACCTATTTCTTTACTAAACGCAAATTATAAAATTTTTGCTTCAATATTGGCAGAAAGACTTAAAAAATATTTAAACAATTTTATCCATCCTGATCAAAATGGATTTCTGCCAAAGAGACAAATTAAAGACAATATGAGAGTAATCTTGGACACTTTGGAATACTACGAGGCACACCTTGAAAAACATATGGCTTTGATATTTCTAGATGCACAGAAGGCTTTGATAATGTGAATTGGTGATTCATGTTATTACAGCTGGAACAGATGGGCTTTGCTAAAAAATTTATTCAAGCAATAGAAGCTATATATCATAAGCAAATGGCAAAGGTAATGATAGAGGGAGAACTGACACACTCTATTGATATAAGAAAAGGAACAAGACAAGGGTGCCCACTATCACCTCTGTTGTTTGTGTTAGCCTTGGAAGTGCTAAACAGAAATATTAGAGAAGAAAAGGATATAAAAGGGATGAAAAATAAAAAGGAAGAATTTAAGTTGCAAGCATTCGCAGATGATCTGGTTTTCATTTTAGAAGACCCACTAGAAACAGCATCAAAATTGATAGAAAAGATAGAGGCATATGGAAAGGTGGCTGGTTTGAAAATAAATAAAGATAAGACAAAGATTTTGACAAAGAATATGCTATCAAGACAAAAGGAAGAACTGGCAGATCTATTGAAAATTCAGGTCACAAATAAGATCAAGTACTTGGGGATACATTTGACAGCAAGATGCAGTACACTAAAAGAGAATAATTATATCAAACTTAAACAGCAGATAGCGCTAGATTTGGCGAAATGGGAAAATTTACAATTGTCATTAATAGGGAGAATATCAACAATCAAGATGAATATATTACCCAGAATTTTATATTTGTTCTAAACAATTCCAATTAGGCTTGGAAAAGATTACTTTGAAGATTTAAATAAAATTGTGTTGAAATATATATGGCAAGGTAAGAAAGCGAGAATAAAGTTAAAACTTTTGCAAGATGCCAGAATAAGAGGAGGATTTGGTTTGCCTAATTGGGAGTTGTATAACCAAGCTACAAATTTGATGTGGGTTAAGGAATGGATAACATTAAGAAATACTAGATTGTTGACATTAGAAGGTCATGATCTGTTGTTGGGGTGGCATGCTTTTCTATGGTATAAAGGAACTAAAACACAGGGGTATTTTAGAAGACATTATATACGGGAGTCTCTGTGGTTAAACTGGGAGAAGACTAAAAGACAATGTTATTTGAAAATTCCAGTCTGGCTATCGACTATTGAAGCATTTTCTTATCCTATAATATATATAAAGGAACAAACAGTTAGATATGGTAAAATATTGAATGAAAAGGGTGAACTTAAATCTATACAAAAATTAGAGGAACAAGGTATAAAGATGAATTGGTTTTCATATGCGCAAATACATTCAAGGTATGATAAAGATTCTAAAACAGAAGGTTTCTAAGATAAACTGAGTGAATTAGGTAAGATTTTGATAGGTACTGATGAAAAGGTGATTAAAAAATTGTATGGATACTTATTAGAAATTAAACTAGAAGAAGAAGAAGTTAAAGAAACAATGATTGCTTGGGGGAAGAATTTTGGATATGGGATTGATTTAGAGAAATGGCAAAAATTGTGGTCTCAAAATTATAAAATGACAATGTCAACAGCATATAAAGAAAATTTGTATAAGATGTTTTACAGGTGGCATTTTCCCCTGACAAGAATAGCAAGAATGTTCAAGAACAAATCTGAAAAATGTCATCAGACACCTGGCTCATATTACCATAAGTGGTGGACTTGTGCGTATACTAAAAAATATTGGATTAAAATCCACACGTGTTTGGAAAAAATGACAAAAAAGCATATACATTTGAAACCAGAGATATTTTTATTGGGAATTCTACCTGAAATATATAGTAAAGAATTGAAATACCTGATTGTTGCAGTAATAAATTAGCTTCTACAGTTTCGGTACAGGCCGGCCTCACGTAGGCTGAAAGCGTACCAGGAACAAAATGCATCAATCAACACGTCATTATGGGCTAATAACTGGACTGCAAACTGGCTACTTTGTACCTTTTAAACTGACCATGTAACTGTAATTGGATGCTACTATGTGTCCACTAATATTTCTGCTCATGTAACATAATGATTGGATAGAATTTACCGCTTATGACGTATCACTATGTGTTTTTAATAAAAGAGCTTCCCGAACTCGTGATCGGGGCAGCTCACCCAAGATAGAAACTGCCTGGTGTCTTTCTTGATGCATTCAACCACCCAGTGAGAAGCCTTCCTAATGTGGAGCAAAGCCGCAGATTGTAAATGTATTAACAGCGGCTAGGATTGTATTTGCTAAAAACTGGAAAAATGAGAAAATACCATCACAGGAAATCTTTAAGAAAATATTGGAATGTGCTGAAATGAGTAGATTGATATTTGAAATCAGAGAACAAAATGATAAACGATTTTATAAAATTTGGGATCTATTCTATCAATGGTTAGACAATAAAACATGGTAATGAACTACCGTATATACTCGAGTATAAGTCGACCCGAATATAAGCCGAGGCACCTAATTTTACACAAAAAAACTGGGAAAACTTATTGACTCGAGTATAAGCCGAGGGTGGGAAATGCAGCAGCTACTGGTAAATTTCAAAAATAAAAATAATTAATTTGGGAAACGATCTCACTATCATGAAAGGTTTAATTGATTCACTAACCCAAAAGAAGAAGATGATGATGACAGCGGGAGGCAGGAGTCACTCTCTTCCCCTCCCTCGGAGGCCCCCTGAGTCAGGAGTCACTACCGCCGGCGCGGCCCCAGTCCCGCCGCCTCGGGAAGGGAAAGGCAAAGCGCTTTTTGCCTTTCCCTTCCCGGCTGGGGCTGTTGGGAGTCGCTGCCGCCGGAGCGGCCCCAGTCCCGCCGCCTCGGGAAGGGAAAGGCAAAACGCTTTTTGCCTTTCCCTTCCCGGCTGGGGCTGTTGGGAGTCGCTGCCGCCGGAGGCCGCGACTCCACACCATTTTTTTTTCAGAGGGGAATCTGACTCGAGTATAAGCCGAGGGGGATTTTTTCAGCACAAAAAATGGGCTGAAAAACTAGGCTTATACTCGAGTATATACAGTATGTAGATTCTTAGAAAATAATAAATATATAAAGATGTATTCTTTTCTTATTATATCTACAAAATGATTGTAGGATAGATTTGAGATGATAATATGAACTGTTATATAACAAATTAAGTAAATATGATTATTTCGTGAAACATAAATGAATAAAAGTATAGTCAAATGATTGATTAACAATGATATTAATGTATTTAATACTTGATTGAAAATATGAGAATATATACAATGTAATTGTAATTGAAGACTACGAAATGGAAGCACAAAACAATTTGTAAACCAACCGGCACACTGTATGTATACATATGGAAGATGGCTTGATGTTTTTCTGTTTTGTTTGTCTATGTTCGTCTTAAAAACCAATAAAAATTTAAAAAAAAAAAGAATCATTGCACTAAGCAGTAAAGTTAGAGCAGCAGCACTGAGAAAACAGTGCTTTTTCAGTCTTAGTTGACAAAAGTGCATTCACAATTAATTTTTGAAATTGTAGATACAGGAATAACAAAATGTTACAAATTACTTTAATATTATAGTTAATGTTGAAATATTTCTACATTGTTAAGAGTAGACCACTGTACTGTGATATTTGAACATTTTCATTTTTCAAAGTGCAGCTTTTTCATTCTGATTTTCTCTAATAAAATATTAAATTGAGAAGTCAAGACACAATCTCTTCCCAGGAATTTTTTTTTAATATTGAAAAGAATATATAAAAGCATAAAATGAAATAAAGATCCTGTGAAATAATGATAAAATGAAATAATAAAACTCACACTGTTTCTAAATTTCATATCCACCCAAATAAAACACTGAATTACCTTTCTGTGGAGTTTGTTCTTGGGCTTCTGTTTGTATTCTTTCATCATACAGGTCATCTTCAGTTTGCTACGTTGAATAAGAAAAATTGCTAATAAACTATAAGAACTACATTCCTGTATGACTGATTGATTGATTTAATAAATGTATGTCCCATCTTTCCTCCAGAACTCAGATATTAGCAAAGCATTTTATTTTCCAGGTTTTTCCATTTAAATCCTCTTATTTCCCATAGTTATAAGCTGACCACAGATTCAAAAATTATGAGTGCAAAACAATTATTTTTATCTTATTTCATTATACACTATGGCTACTTGTTTTATAGATCTCTATCATGTCTCCTTTAATTTATGTATCTCATATTACAACTTTTCCTCATTATTACATCTTGAACATTTTGGTTGCTCTTGTTTGCCTCTCCTTTGTAATACAGTTATCAAAATTCAGCAACCCAAATTGTACATATGGGGCTACACTGTGTATTTTTTTAAAAGACATTATATTATTGGCAGTTTTATTTTCCATTCCTTTAGTTCCCAACATTTTTTCAACAATTCCCACAAACAGGTCACTGACCTCAACTTCTATTTGTTTATATCTGAATTACATTTACCTTGAACTACATTTGCCATTTTAACAAGTAGTATTTAGTATTTTTATTTGATACACTCCAGGGGTGGGATTCAAATTTTTTAACAACCGGTTCTGTGGGCGTGGCTTAGTTGGTGGGTGTGGTTTGGTGGTCATGTGACTGGGTGGACGTGACTTGGTGGTCATGTTATTGGCTGGGCATGGCCAACTCAATATCATTCACATCAAGGCAAGCATCTCCTCGCCTGACCTCTCATGACTGTGGGGATGCTGCAACAGTCGTAAGTGTGAAAAATTATCATAAGTCACTTTTTTCAGTGCCATTGTAACTTTGAATGGTCACTCCACACAAGCAAAGTACCGGCAAAGGAGGGGGGGGGAAACTCCAGGGAAGTTCCTAAAACAGGAAGTCTAATCCTGCCAAGAATGTAATAAGGGTTAACAGAGAGGCAGTTTCTGTAAGCAACACCAGAATGTTTCCTTCCTGCCTTCCTTACAGGATTAGGCCAGTAATTTTTTCTAAGAACTGGTTCTCTGAACTGCTTAGAATGTTAACAACTGGTTTTAGCGAATAGGTGTGAACCAATAGAATCCCACCCTGATACACTCTTATACCTAAATGCAGTACAAGCAGAAAACAATATAAATCAACAAGGTAGTATAATAAATATTTCTCTCCTCAAATGTGATATTACTTTGCAATTATTCACCTATGCTTTTTTTGTTTTTATCTTTCAGCGTTGGTTACTTTCTTCTGCAGATTGGCTCCCTGCTCATTCCCAAATTAAGAAGTGCCAGTCCCAACATGTTTTTTATGGGAAATCTACACAGTTCTTCTAGCATAAGAGTTATCCATTGTTGTTCCTCTTTGCTTCCTGTTTTTAACTATTCTACATCTGGAAGAAACCTATATATAATTTGCACTGTTTTTGTTGTTTTGTGATTAACAACAAATTGTGTATATTTAATTTAACACTTTTTAAATCACCTCTTCATTAATTCAAAGCAGTTTAGATGTGCATTTTTCATTAAAATATACAAATAAAAAATGACATTAAACAGAAAAAGTTGTCAACATAATTAGAGCCATTTTCTAAAAAGCAATTTTTGAAGAATATCCAAAATTCTAAAGAATATACTATATTCTATTTTAATATGAATGAAAGTACCTGGTTTTTAGGACTTTGTTTAGGTAAAGATTTTTTTTCCTTTGCAAGTCTTTCTTGAACTTCCTCTTTCTGAAAAAGGAAAGGAAATTGTTAAAATCTTATCTGTAAGGATACAAAGCCACTTTTAAAAAATAACTCAAAACAATAGATATAATCACATGCTTATTAGTCTCAATATTTAATTTAACAAATTATCTAAAGAACAATTTAATCATTAATAAATCAGTTAGAAAATAATATAAATATTTTAAAACATTTGTCATAACTTGCCTCAGTCGTATTATCTAGTAATGTCTCCAAATCTTCATCAGAATCCATTTGTTAGTTAACTGAAAAATATAAAATGTAAACATTTATAAAATATATGTATATCATATCAGCATAATTTCAGTTTGACAATCGGTAAAAAATAATATACAATTACTTTAATCAAAAGAAATTTGTTGAGACTCTATGTCAATGGATTTTTAATATATTTATGTTTTAATATATTTTTCTGATTGCACATAAAGTTATTGAAGAGTTCATTGAGGGTAGCTTGTACTTATGTGGAATTGTGCTGTGATATCTCATGTTTCATCACTGCTATACAACATTCAATCTTGTTTTAAATTTGAAACAGCTGTAATTTTTGTCATTGTTTTTGCATTTCTTTTATATGTAATAATCTAAAGATAAATATATCTGACTTATCTTTTCTTGAAAAAGGTATAGATTTAAGCTCCATATTTTGAATACCCTTTATCTAATGAACTAGATAAATTGGAGGCATAAATATTTAGAAAATTTTGAAGTGCTAGAAAAAGTGACAAATAAATCTTATTCAATACTATAATTGTACCATCATCTACATGAATTTAAACCATTTTATGAAGATGACAGCTGTCAACACATTTAAGACAACATAACTTGAAAGATTTAAGCTGCATTTGTTGATTAGAAAATGTAAGTACTACAGGAAACCAGGTTATATAAAGATGTATTATGCAAAAAATCAAATAAAGCAGTATAACTAATTTATATTTGTGAGAACATTTTGTTTTGTGAATTATCAGTCAATTCTCCCTATAAAATGTAGATTGGTGACATATATAACAGCCTACAATATCACAAAGTTGATACGTATATGATATGTGCAAGGACACAACTTAGTACTGACAAAAAATGTTTGTTTGCTTTGAGCACCAAAGTACCCACTAAAAAAACAGAACAGACTTACCTGTGGGTTAAAAATACCACTCTATCTAAATCACCTGACAGGAGGCTAGAGAATATCACTGCATCTCTAAAAGTTCTATGACAAGCTTTTAGAGAAGAAATGTACTAGCTACATTCTTTAAACAGAAAGCATTTATGTTGTTAACTAAGTTGTATATAATAACCTCACAGTTAGAAGTTAAACATAAAGTTGGTCAAAAATCCAGATGACAAATGGTAAAAACATTCCATCAGAAGTCTGTACATCAAAAGAAGTATCCATAATAGCCTGAATATGAGATTTTATCTAGAAAAAATCATTGAAAGTATTACACAAAAAGCCTTATAAGAAGTCTGAAGATTCTGTTAATAGATTTCTGCAGAAAGAGATTTGAATATAAGTCATTCCCCCCCACCACAGAATCTGAAAATTTAGCAGGTTGTGAGCTTCAAGATAAAATATGTAAGGATGCACTTATCACCAAAGTGATAGGTCTTAAAATAGGCTTTACTAACTAAACTCTGGACTTAATTAACTAGAATTGTTAACGGTTTTCTGAATGTCAAATTTCCATGTGCAGTCTGATGCTAGGGATGTTAATTTGAAAATGTCCAACAATTCAATACTCTTTCAACTGAAGTGCACCACAATTATAGTTTTGAATATATTGTCATTTATTTCGGAATAAAACAGGAAGTAACAGAAATTTTGCTTGAAGCCTGACTCTATCAAAGTAAACTATGAAAACTATATATAAGAAATGACTAATTTTGCATGGGATTTTACACATAAAAGGGAACATTTTTCACAAGGACAGTTACTTTAAAGCAGGAGTCCCCAATCCCCGGTCCATGGACCAGCAGTAGTCTGAGGCATGCCAGCAACCAGGCTGCGCAAACAAGCAAAGCCCCATTCGTGGGATGCAAGCAGCATGCAAAACCACACTCCTTCCAGTCTTCAGAAAAACCTTTCTCCATGGAACCAGTTCCTGGTGCCCAAAAGGTTGGGGGCCACTGCTTCAAAGAGTTCTAGTCAGCACTATGTTTGTACCTTACATACTCTGAAGCACAGATTTGAAATCAAATCCAAAATATTACAAAACTCTGCTGTCTACCACTATATTGAAAAAAATCCTGTGCATTAGAATCTTATTTTAAAATTCTTACTTAAAGAATATACAGTATTATACAACATGAAAGGCAGAAAATTTTTAAAAGCAGCAGTGACTGAATGATTTATGCAAGAATGGAATACTTTTCTTACTTGGTTTGCTTACCAACATAAGGGCAATCCTGTAAAGACAACATAAAAATTGGAAGGGATCATGGATGGTGCAGTGGTTAGAGTGCAGTACTGCAGGCTACTTCTGCTGACTGCCGGCTGCCTACAATTTGGCAGGTCAAATCTCACCAGGCTCAAGATTGACAAAGCCTTCCATCCTTCCAAGGCTGGTAAAATGAGGACCCATATTGTTGGGGCATTATGCTGACTCTGTAAACCGCTTAGAGAGGGCTGTAAAGCACTGTGAAGCGGTATATAAGTCTAACTGCTATTGCTATTGCTATACCATAATCAATGGTATCAAAAGCTTCAGATTCAGTAAAATCAGCATCATCATATATGAGTCCATTCCTGAAAACAAAGGTGTCAAAATTACCAAATGTGCATTGGAACATCACAATTCAAACTCCACTTTGTACTTGCTTTGTCACCTTCCTCTGCCTCAGACACCTGTGGAGAGATGCATCTATTTCCTGTGTGGAAGATCATATGTGGCAGAACAACCAGGACTCAGATCCCAAGCTTGGCCTTACATCAAACAATTTGGCTTTTATCAGTGTTTTCCAAATTTGGCAACTTTAAGATGTGAGGATTCCAATTTTCAGAAATCTCCAGCCATCCATGCTGCACCTGTTGCATTTGGTTTCACTGGTTCAGCTTTGATCTAGCCCCTGTAATGTTTTTGCTGTTGCTGCTGTTATATGTGTTTCTCTCTTCTGGATGTCTATAATCTGTTTCTTAATTTTTATTGTTCCTCGCTCTGAAAGTGTATATAGCCAAGTCATTTGAAGTTGGCTAACCTCTAAAATAACGAATAAACCAACCAACCGTTAACATATGGGTCTCTTCAAGAAAAACTCTATTGTTCTTCTCTCAAGGTGGCCAGTCTAACTCTTGTCATAACAGAAGATTAACCATTGTCTGCATCCATCCAAGTCAATCTACTTCAGCTGGGTCATCAGCTCAATTGGGCATTGTCTATTTGCATCCGATTCATGCTAAAGATGCAAGGAATTTTTACGGTTCTTCAATATTTAAGACCCCTTTCTCTTATGTTCCTGCCACAATGTTAAAATCAGCCAGCAGGACACATTTGTAATGTCCCACCTTAATACTTCGAGTATTAAGCCCTTCTTGAGGAGATCTATCTGATACCAACAGCAATGTTGATTACATTGATGCCAATTTCAATCTAACTCATTAAAAAAAATGGAAGTAGGTTACAGTTGTTTTGATTAAATTCTGCCTTGAAAGATATAATACAAATTATATAATATATAATCTTCATTTGGCTTTTTGCTAATATACTGTACAAGCACTATCAATATTCTATGTAGTACAGTACTTTGTTCTGCTTCATAGGAAAAGGAAATCCTTTTCCAAAAATTTTTTCCAAGTTTGAAATATTCCAGACTGCATAGTGTGGTCAGAAGCAAATTGGATTAAGAATATGCTCAAGAGATTAACTAAATAAAAATCAGTTATGAATTGTATATAGTCTTAAACATATAAACCATTCATTGTATACTTTAGGTATAAAATTGCCTCTTGGGAAAAGGGTTGCAAAGCTCTTGTCAAAATATTTATGGGGATAACGATGCCTTTATTTAAAAATTCACTTCTTTTCACGGCGAACTTGCTTGCCTGGCCCCAATTTATTATCTTTCTAGATTTTGTCAAAACACTTAATGCGTACAAAAAACAGTATTCCACCAAATGAGCAGCCTTCTGTCGAAATAACTGTATGTAATGGTGAAGAGGTGAAAAGTTACACTTTCCCCTCAGAAACAGGATCAATTTCTTTTCTGCTGCACTGTATCCCAATAGCCAGCATTGCTAGCTGCCTGCCTCTTACCGAGCTTAAAGCGAAACTAAAATTGAGTCGGTTTCTAGTTTTTTCTCCTCACTACATCTTGGCCCACATTAAAAAAGAGGGGGGAGGAACCGCTTCCCAAGAAGCTAAACGTCCCCATCTCAAGTTGCTCGCTTTAACGTTGAGCATGCGCACGAACTCTCCTCCACCTGAAGGGGGCGATGCCGACGCAGCCCAGAACAAAGCAGATTTTTCCCTCAGACTCGGACCTTGTCCCTCGCCGGCTCGAGAATCGGGCAAACCCGAGCGAGCATGCGTAAAGAACCCGCCGTAGCTGAAGCGCCAATGCGCATGCGCTTATACAGAGATGACGTTAGAAGCGGCTGCGCAGTTCAAAAAGTATCGGGAGGGCTCTCCAGTTGCCGGTCCGGCTGGCTTTGTTTGCAAACAAACTCCTGCCTGAGAGGGTACGAGCTGCCAAGTTCCCTAACCGCCCGCGGCCTTCGCTCCGCTTCTAGTCCATCGCGAAGCTGGGGTTCGGTAGCTTCAAGGCCCTCAAATTTCGGGACTCGAAAGCTACCCGCCGCCTTGACCGTGACGGGCCAAAGCCATCCTCTGCGAAGAAGCTGCTGGGACTTTAGGGTGTCCCTGGCGCCCCCGCAACGGGATGGCTGCCGTCGGGTCTCGCCGTCCCTTCAGGCTGGTGTTGGAAGTCGGCTGCCCCGCGAGCAGTTTTGCTGCGCCGCCGACGGGAGACGGGCCTGAGCTCTTCCCTGGCTCTCCCAATTGTTCAGTGTACTTGTTAAGTCGTAGGACAGCCGCCCCCTTCGTGGCTTGACTCCGTCGCTCTCGTCTCCCCCATTCCGTTCAGCTGCTTGGCCCATGAGGCCAAATCCAAAGAGGTGGTAGAAGGCCCTCTTGATTGCTGCGGCTGGTTTGTAGAAGTGTTTTTCTTTTATTCTTTTCAAAATTGGCTGCCTTAAGAGGGCAGACCAACTCCCAGAATTCCCTAGCCGGCTGGCTGGA